AGCGGACCAGCTGTCCTCCTGGTCTAACAGGACTGGACCAGTCTCTCACCAGTAAAGCTGTACTGGTAGCCAGTATCAGGCTGGCTGCCCTGGTCCACTCGTCCTGCGCTGTGTTGTGTTGTGTTAATCGACACAATTAGCCTGGCTTGTTATTCGTTTCGTTTCTCTCCAGGAGGGACAGGCTGGAATGCAGACTGGGGGAGAGTCACGCCCCTGTGTGAGGCACGTCTGCGCCCGGAGGATCTCGGGAACGTTCGGGGGGTACAGTGCTCCCCAAGAAGAAGGGTCCACAGCCAAACGTTGTGGTTCCCGTGGTCTCTTTTCACCTGTACTTGTTCCTGTGGATTGAGAGCCCGTTGCTGACACTCACTCACACCCCAGACACCACAGGGACAGGGGCTCGATGGCTGTCCTGTGTGTGTCCTGAGGGGGCCCAGCCAGCGACACCAGTCCCCTGGGTGTGGTAGACGGGACAGCCACGCTGCAGGCTGCCGGACAGCCGGACAGACGGGGCCGTTTCAGACATACTGATCAACAGGTCCCCCCGCAGCGCCGCACACGGACACGCAGGACCGCGTACAGACACAGCGAGAGGCGCTCAGTCCCGCGGGCATTCTGGGGGGGGAGAGAGCCGAGTTGTGGGTGCGCAGTGTGGGCGAGGACACCTACCAAACCAGTCGTCACCTGAGGTTTTTTTTGTTCGTTTTCAATTTAAAGGCCCGTTTCCTCCTTCTCCTCCTCCTCTCCCCCCACCCGCCCTCTCTCTCTCTCTCTCTCTCCCTCCCTCTCTCCCAGCACTGTGACAAACCGGTCCGACAGGTAACTCAAATAGGAGGTTGTCACCGTTATTTCTGGACGCATGCGCCATACCGCCTTCGTTCCTGGCGAATTTTACCTGCCGGCAGCTGCCTGTGCTTTTCAATAGGCTCCCGGCCGCCCTGCGCTCCGTTAGCGAGCAGGTAACAGGCAGCCCGCCTCTGCGCTCGCCGGCCCCAGGTGCTGCGTTTCGGTCTTTCTTTTCTCACAACAAAGAGACTCTCTGGAGATTCCGCTGCTTCGAAACTCTTTCCAGAGACGGCGGACTAGCAGAAAACAAACGCGAAGCTGCGCCCGACCCGAACGCACAAGCAGAGGGAGAAGTTGGAGAAGATTTTTCTTCTAAAGAAAAGTTTCTCTCGCGTCCAGCTCCCTCGCCCTGTCTCATTCGGGCAGGTTAGCTGGGATCGCTTTCACCTGGCGCCGCCAGCGAGGGACGGAGAGGGCACAGACGAAACGTTACCTCAACATGCCCAGAGCCTTTCTCGTCAAGAAGCCCTGCGTCTCCCCGGGCAAGAGGAACTGGAGCGACCTGCCCGACGACGAGCGGGGGGAGATCTACATCCCGGGTGAGCTCCCCGAAACCCCTTCTGCCCCGACACGAGTCCCCGCGCCCCCGCGAGCCGGCGGCGCGACCTTCAGACCCGGGACACTTCCTCCTGGATAGCGGGAGAGCTGAGCGCCGCTGCCTTCGGGTTTTGAGACGCAGTCGCGTCCGAGCGAACGGATTTACATGTCGTTTTTCCGGACGATTTGACCGAACAGCTCTCTTCGGCGTTGCGCGACTAGGACTTCAGCAGGCACACTTTAACAGAAGCTCACCTAACGGAATGCGATAGCCCTACCTAAGCTTTACTGCCGAGATCCATCTACCGGGTGTTTTTAGACGGATTCGCCAGCTTTTACACCAGCAGTGTCTCGCAGTTGTTTCAGGGGCAATAAGATGGTATGATTCGACGTGAGAAAGACTGTTGTGAGTGACTAGGTGAAGGCCCGCTGCTTTCTCGATTCCTGATCACTTTTCCAAAGTTATTTACAGCGACTTCCTTGAGCACCCGGGCGGGAGATGGGGGGGGCTGTGTGCGTCACCGCGGCGCGCAGAAACACCTGAACTACACGGTAACACACCTTGATAAGGAAACCCGCCACCGCAGAGGGGGCGCACGGCCGCCCCCCCGGCACCCAGCCCCATTGTTCCCAGCGCAGGAGTCCCGGCTGGTTAATGTTTATAGTGTAAACGCTATAGGGACATAACGGGCTCGGAGAGCGAGCCTCCCTTAGCAAACACCAGGGTGCAGATTGCGACGGGCGCAGGACTCCTGCCTGCTCCCTGCTCCTCGGTCTCGCGTTCCCCCGGTTCGGACTGCGCGCGGGCCCGGTTCGGCCAGGCGGATGTCTCTGACCCCGGACTCAAAGCGGGGGGGCACATTGCGGCTGTTTTCTTCGTTGTTTTGAGCTACTGTATTATAGCTTGTCGCAGTTTCCTACATTATGTTGGTGTGTTTATACCGCAGTGTATTACAGTGTGTTATAGTGTACTACAGCTATAAAACAGATTACTACAGTGTGTCATAGTGCATTTCTGTATATTCCACAGTTTACTGTAGCGTGGTACATTATACCAGTTTACTACAGTGTGTTATAGTGTACTACAGTATATACCACAGTTTAACACAGTGTGTTATACTTTATACAGTAGACCCCACAGCTTGTGTTGTCTGTAGAGTTGTGTGTTCTGTACCGTTACACACCGTATGACAAGATCTGGTCATTTGCAAGAGGATTTGCAAATCGTCTGATTTACTGCGGGCTTTGTCAACAAACAAATTCCCTCTTGTTTTCTAGCTACAACTGTAGAGGTGATGAACGCACTGTGACAGCCTGCACGAGCTCATTATTAATCAGAAAGAGTAGTGACGACTATGGTGTACTGTAGTGTTGGACAACCACACTTTACTGCAAGGCACTGTGCTGTGCGTTTATAGTGTGGTGTGTCATGAGTTTATAGTATGTTGTGTAGCTGTGCTGTGTGTCTGTGGTGTATTGTGGAGCTGTGCTGTATTTCTGGAGTCTGTTGTGTTGCTGTGTTGTGGAGCTGTGCATTTTCTGCAGCGTGTTTTGTGTCTGTGCTGTGTAGCTGTGCTGTGTGTCTGTGTTGTGTTGTGG